TTTATTACAGCGTCGCACAATAGATCGAGTTAATTAGAGAGGTCGGACATAAAATTTTTGACTAAAATTGCGAATTTTGCTGTTTATTTCGTCACATATTCAATTTCAAGGGGTACTAGCAGTAGACAATTTTACGAGGAAACCAATGGAACCACTTTTAGAACCTCAAGGTTTTGTATAAACGGAGTTATAAGTGTTTAAAGTTTCCAAATTTTGTCCGACCTCTCCTATTGATTCGATCCACAGTGCGTCGTGTCAAAACTCTTCGGTTATAGTCTACTGAACTGCGTTTGGCCTAAACTCGAGTTCCCAGAAATTCGGCCGTGGAGTGTTGGATCTTATTGATCAAAACAGCCCCTCAACCATGGAGTAATTTAAACTTACTTAGCTACGGGTCAGCTACCGACAGCCAGCGACGAACTATTCGGATTATTTTGAAAGTTCGATCTCCGTACAATGCAACGTTCCATCTTCCGTGAGAGGCATCTCGTATTTCGGAAATTTGAGACAGCAAGAATACCGCACGGTGCACTTTCAAAATTGAAGCATTCCGCCTAGTTTCAGGATGTTTAAAAAGTGTAGAAAAGCTGATGGTAGGCCGTCGTATTAAAAATCATGCCTCTTATGTGACCATATTGTTGGGATTTGAAAATGCGTAAAGAATGATTTTGTTTTTTAATTGTAAAACCTAACTCACTACTTGATCAGAGATTTTGAAACGTTGCAATGGACATATGCACTTTTCGACTTCAGTTATCGATGTCGTAATTAATTTTAAATATTTTGAAATAAAAAAAAATCAAGGAAAGTAGAGGAGAGTTGTCGGTTTAAAGAAGTGGCGGTTGAGCATTCAGAGTGAATGTTCGGAATACACTGAGAAAAGAAAAGACTTTGACTCTTAAAGGCATAATTATGCTGCCTATACGTAGACATACCGTCCATTTCAGGTTCAGTAGATAGTGCTGAAGTGAAAAGTCGTAGCTTTGCCTGATCTAGTGGGCTGATTGTTGAACTTCATAGAAAAATCTTGTGAAAAAAACTTCCACAGCAGGTCTTTTTTCAGTTTAATTCATATAAAACACAGCCATAAACACAATATATGACCAGGGTATACTATTCTAAATTCCAAGGGCAATTCTATCATTTTCATGAACATGAATTGAATTTTCACCGACTAAAGATAATAGAATAGACCCCATTTTGTGCATCCCGCAACAGGTGGTGGAGGCTATTTTCATATTCACTGCAGTCCGGTTGGTATCAACGGTGATTGAAGGCGCATGCCTCAACCTAAATCGCTCTGCACGGTTTAGCAAGAATTGCGATGACAGCTTGATATCAACTTCAGCGACCTAATTGGTTGAAACCGGTGGTTGCTAAACTAATTCTAGTCTCTGATGTTAATTCAATTTGTGGTAGCGGGTGGTTGCACCGCTTCCACCAATGGAATCGCTCCATTTATCATTTGTCTTCTCGTCTATTAATGTGAGTAGGTCTGCTGACAGACTTCCAACGTTATGTGATTTTTGGAAGTTTCTCCAAAGACATTTTAAAATCTAAATCTAGAAATGATCTACTGATTGATTATTGACTATCCAATCGTTCTCAAAAGTACTGAAGATCCACCTGAAACTGGATCCTCGTGATCAGGTGCGATCCTTCTTTTTTTCGGTTCAAATTTGGCAACTGGCGAAGCTGCTCAGACGTCTACTGTACCAAGTAGGTGAAGACTAACTCTGAAAAAAGAAAATGTTTCTCGCCCAAGGCCAGTTGTTGACTTTTTTGCCAAACGGATTCCTGATTTCTTGAGTCTCTCGGAATGCCTATGTAAATCAGACGATCGGCTGGAAAAGTGCCAAAGAGCCAGCCCGACCGGCACGATCGCTGCCCGGAGCCCAGCGCTCAGTGGATCCAGTCAATCAGAAAAGTCGATCATGAAATTGTTTACTAAAACTGCAAATTTTCATGTTTATTTCGTCACATTTTAAATTTTATGGGGTGTTTCTAGAAGAAAATTTCACGAGGAAACCAGTGGAACCATTTTTAAAAACTCAAATTTTGGTATACACGGAGTTATAAGCTCATGAAGTTTCCAAATTTTGTCCGACCTCTCTCGTTGACTTGATCCACCGTGCGGCGGAGGCTGCAACTTTTCTCCTTTCCGTGCGCCTTTTCGTCGCTACGCTCACAGACACACACGCATGCACCATTTTAAAAATAGAAAAACCTATGACATAACTGAGCACGTGTTGGTGAACGATGACAACTGTGTAGGGGACAAATGGCGGATAAAAGGCCGTTCGCACAAACTGGTTTTCAGGGATCTCGCTTAGGATGGGCTTTCGGACATTAATCGTCGTCGGCGGTGCCGTTTCGTGGTCAAAATCGTGAATTTACTGAGAAAAATCGAGGACAATTTCAATAAAGTGACCTGTGAGGCTTTCGATGCTGAAAAAATTGTGCAACCTCGCTCTTCATGACTGGTGACCTATCCAAAAGCTCTGCTTTGTATTTTCCTTTTTGTTTAAAAAAAAAAAACTAATTTTTCCGTAGTTTTTCTGTGAAAATAATTGTACCAGAAAATAATTCGTCGAAGCAAAATTAATTGACTCAAGCAGTTCAATTCTTTACAGGAACAAGAAAGTGTAATTTCTGCCCAAAATTTTGCAGATTTTGGCGCATCATCATAAAAGTAATTCTTTAAAATTTCTGCCATAGTACCCGACGGTTTTCTCGTAAAAAACACAATTTTGCAACAAGCAAATTTGTAAGGCAAATAACTTAGTTACGTTCTTTTGTTTGGAAAACGATGATTTTAGCAGGACTGCAAGCCCTGAAGGTCCTTTTTCCGAACGTGCTCTCAATAATGAGATTAACAGAAAAGCAAAACTCAGCACTTGCACGAACCAATAAGTTCAGAAGGCGCTTTTAAGCTCAAATGACGCATCTTTCTTTCGGGTGAATCAACCCTCACGAACCGAAAAACTCCGGTTCACGTGGACTATGCCTTACATCAACTAAATTACCACACCTAATTCATGTTTTTAAGAAGAAACAAATCTTGAAATTTTAACACGTATTCTCCAATCACCATGCAATATTGGCATGAAGGTAGGTGACGCACCTCGTCATTTCGCCTTCAACTTTTAAGGTAGGCCAGAGAACATACTCCGATCGGCAATAGTTATCTTTTCGAGGGTTTTTGAGATCTTTTTCTGCAAATCTTATCTTGCGGTAGTTATCGTCATAGCGATTCTAAAAACTCTACTTTTTATTCATGGCCTTATGATTGATGATGAATATATAATAAACGCAAAATTTTCATTGAATGAAAAACGTTTCGTTTTGTCTCCGTTCAGAGGGACACTTTCCCTGCCTTTGCCTGTGCAAAAAATACCACCCTTTTTTCATGCCAATGTCCATGTATTAAAGACACAAGCTGAGGCTCTGCTGACAGGGTATTATAACCCACAACCAGTTGGTCCCGATACTGACGCAATAACCATCATCAATCCTACCCTGGCACCCAAAGCTTGTTCGGAATGACTGAAATACGGAGCTACCGAGAGAAACTAAAAATAAACAACGCTTAGTGGGAGGGAAAAATGTTAAATAGAAATTCGAGAGGTTTTTTCTGTTTACTTTGCATATTATATGTATTTTAATGGCAATTCAGGCGCGGTGGAAAATGTCTTATAGTGTAGAAAAAATGTTGGCAATGTCAATGATCTCGACGACCGGACGACGACGCGACGGGGGCGTTAAAGTGGGCTCATGACGTCGCCTCTTTGACGTAAGGGCGTATCTCTATTTCCACATGAGCCCCAGAAAGCATATAGTTATACGGAGAACAGGGCTCAAGTAGAAATTGAGTTTCGTCAGAGAGGTGACGATGAGAGACAATTTGGGAGTATAAATCGGGTTAATTTCTTGCGATTCGTCCTCTGTTCGTTAAATAAACTTATTGATTTTATTCTATAGGTGCAACCCTTGGGCGTATTTGCGCCGGTCTTGCTCGTGATTGGTTCAAATAAAATTTCACGTTCAATTAAATTAAAGGATTGAACATTTTTATGACTGCGTATTTACAGAGGAAAAGAAATAGTTCAGTTAAAAAAACAGGTGCTCAGAAAAGCTTTTTTTGACCTAAAGTTCAAAACTTTTTGAAATAGTTCCTACGCGTTGAAAACTTTACTTTTTAGAATTATTACTGTAAAAGCTTGCTTTAGTTTTGAATATCAGATGCATGAGGAGGGTAGGACGTTGAATTTCCCTATGTTTTTTCCGAAGACGGATAAAAATGGCGAATTTTCTCGTGCTTTTTCTCTGCGTAATTATGAGTGTAAACTTGACTGTATTGTCCTTTGAGTGTTATTGCATCATTTAATTAAGACATACGAAGACGATCATTAACAGCCAACTTTTTGCTTACAGTTAAATTACAGCAGATGCATCGAAAAATTCGTCATTTTTAGCTGTCTTGGGGAAAACTGTGGGGATACGTAACTTCTGATACCAAATACTACCCTTCCTTATCATACATTAAAACTTCAAAACTGAGCCAAGGTATTAGTTTGATGGTATATGGAAAAGCCAAATTTGCCTCATGGACTTTTTATAATTACTTTTGAAGTTTTTTGCCAATTTTAGGGCCAAAAAAGGTCCATTGTTCATGGCCAAACGCCATATGTTCTAAATTTGCAACACAGAAATTTGACGAATTTTAATTATAGGTTTGTTAGGATTACCAAGTTTAATGTGCCTGTATCAAAAAGTCTTAATCAAGCAGTCAGAAAGAGTTTCAAATTGATTTCAAAATGAAAAAGCTACAGCATTAATTGCTCGGTTTCGGCGGCATTCGAGTCGCAGAATTTCAACCATTCCCTTGAAACGTAAGAATTTCGACTTTCCTCAAGAACCTCACTTTCATTTCCTCATCAGTTTTACAATACTCATAGTTCGCACTGAATAATGACTCATTTCTCTCGTTTTTTTTTTAGGTGATCCCACAGTTTTTGGAAATTTGGGACCTGCCCAAGAAGCTGTAGACGCTGTGATAAAAAGTGCAGCATCATATGGACATAACGGATACACGGCCTCTACAGGTACTTATTTCAAACATTCAACCTCCGCAGTTCCATATTTTCAGCTATCCTCAGACCATTTTCGGGATCCGCTATCATCGGCCGCAGTGCTAAGGAAGGGAAAATGCCGTATGAACCTTCGTCAGATTTCAAATTTCCTTTGATTAAATACGAATTTTCAGGATAACTCCTGAATATTTTCCGTTAAATTTTTCAGATAATTTCTTCCTAATTAGATCTAAATTATCTGAAAATTTCACAATAAATATTCATAACTCTCCCCAAAAATAAAAATCTTATTGGAGGAAATTTGGAAACTCTCGAATGTTCTTACGGTGTTTTTTCTTAGCACGGTAGTATAAGTCTCTAAAAAATGCTCCACACTTAATGTCACAAAAAAGTCCCGAACACGTCTGTGAGAGATGTCTGGAACTTAGAAAGTTAAGAAAATAAAAGAAAAAAAGTTACGCGCAAAATATTTTATAGATTTACTGACACTGGATGCATTCGAGTTCTTGAAAGTAACAATGCAATTTACTCAGAAGCTTTCCTTGTTTGTCATAATTTCTATTTCATTTTCCACCCTTATACTCGACGCCAATGTCGGGGTACGATACGGTGTCATACTTAATACGCTTTATTTCGTACTTGCGTTTCTCAGATGTTTCTCCGTCTTTTGTTTTTTATTTAATTACATTTCGCTTTGTCGTGTCAACTTATTTACCTTGTCAAGCGCGTTTGCTGCACCGATGCCTCGAGCAGTCATCTGTGTTGAGGCTCTGAATTTAAAACGTCACAAACATGTTTTCTCGCGGCACCGCGTTGTTGCGTTGGGTCGTCCGATTTCGAGAAGAAAACACTCGTTGGTGTTTGTATCAAATGATGACGTAGACACGCGGAATCACTGCGTAGCATGCCATGCACCCGGACGATTCGTTGTATTTGTTACTTTTAATTTAATTACTCCTTTACATATATTCAAATTTTATAAATGGATTCCATTTTGAAATAAGGAACCAATATATCTGGCTCTTCCATAAGAGCACGTATCTGCTTGGGAAATCAATGGCATATGTGTTGTTTGTACAATGAACCGGAAATTGTGGTTCCTTATTGCAAAATGCATGCAATTTACTGATGTATCATTGCGGATTTTTGCGCATGATATAGCCATAATTTTACATTAGTTGGTCAATGATTGCCGATTATCAATGGTCAATAAAACGTGTTCCATGTGTGAGAAACATGGGTAGTTAGCTACACAAAAAATGCTAAGTATTTCAATTTTAATGAGATAGATTTCAAAAAGAGGAGCCCCTTCAATTAATGAATAGACAAAATACCCAACTCAGATACATACAATTATTGTAATAATTTTAACATGCAATTGTAATTTATTGCAACCTTTGCCACTTAGGTCCTATTTCAGTGCATTGTCGTCAGCAAATTCTTAAATCTCGGCTTTTTCCAAGCCGCCCAATCTAGATATATCGATTTTTTTAAGTAGATCTTACTACATTCGAGATGTCTAATTTGGTTAATGGAAATTTCTACGAACATTATTTTTGGACTTTTCCTCATTATGCGCAAAGTGTTTTATGATAATTTTAATCGATGACTTTTATTTATTTTTCTTTGAAAAAATGAATGATAATTATGAAATAGTGGCTGATTTTTTTTCTGTAATTGAGAGTTTTGCAACTTTCAGTATCTTTATTACGAGTCCATAAACGCTAAAGCCATGCAGATATTTTTAACATCTAGTGCACCGATTCGTTTTGCATGCTGGACGCAGTTCCCCTTTAATCTGTTCAGCCCAAGTGATCAACTTAATAAAATAGCTTAATTAAATTGTTTCATGAAAATACCACTGACCACATGAATTACCACTGTTACCCTCAACGACCATTTTTCCCTTGAAAGACCAATAATTCACTTGAAATATTTTTACATAATTTGGTCAAAAAACGTTGACTCTGAACACCCAACAAATTGAATTCCATGTGTCAGAAAGATAGGCGATTTGCAATGCGATGAATAACTGCAACTTACTTCAATTTCATTTCAATGAATTTCGAAAAGATTTGTTCTCCAACTGATAGATAGGCAACATTCCGATGTAGTAGCAATTATTTTAGCGTGTAATTGCAATTTTGCGCTATCGGTGTGACGTGGAAATCTGCAAATATTTTCCAGAAAAAACACTTTATCTGACAAAAATTCTTGTCTCGATTATGTAACAGTTGCCATAGTTGTTTTGTTCAACTTGAGGCAAGGTATTCTAACATAAAATTAATCAAATCCTGCCTTCAAACGGCTTTTAAGTTGAATCCTCTTTAGAATAGATAAGATTCCTCCCAAAATGATCAACATAGGAAGATTCCTAACTGTTTAATGGCATTCAACTGTGATTCTATATAGGCGTGATATTGAAACAACTTTATACCTAAAAATGAACTCCCTCCAACTACATCTCAGTATTTTTTCTAATACTGGCTGTCAACTTCAAACAGATCATCAATAAAGTTGCGTGGCGTCCTTTTGCGATGTATCGATTGGTCTGCCATTTAAACCTATGGAAAGGATCGATAAACAGGCTGTCGGCAACGAGCACCCTAATAATCGATTATTTGCGATAGCTTCTAGTTGGGAAATATCGATAAACGATCATTCACGCCTCGCCGCTGCATCGATAATTTAGAAATTTAGATTGAGTCAATGAGAGTAGATTCTCTTCTCGATGGTCATAATGACATTCGTTATATATGTATCGATATATTTTCTGATACCCATTAGTTGGCCTCAGTCACTACATTGTCAGGTGTTTGGAATGCTGACAATACTGAGATAATTATATGTATCTTGCCTCTCTTACTTTATTAGTTCTTTTCATAATATTGTACATGTTTGTTATCTTAGGTAACATGAAAGCAAGAGAAGCCGTTGCTCAGTACAGCTCTACCGATGAGTATACGGTGAAACCAGAGGTAAGTCGATGTTGGAGTTTCCCCTCCGGTTTTGAGTCATGGTTGCTCACGAAGTGTACGCTGGATATGTTCCGATTATCGAATAGTAATCGTTTAATCCAACCCTTATTCGATTATTCGTCCAATCAATCGTTAGTTCACTGTTAATCAGAAACTTGAGGTCATGTTAAATGACGTTTTTTCGCGCTGAATGCTATTACATGTAAGCAATTTGCGTTGTCAAACTAGCCATTTTCATAACGACTAAAAGATTATTTCGTTGCCGATTAATCGATTATTCCGTTGTCAATTAATCGCTTGATTGGTTAGTTACATGTTTCGGTCACCGATTATCGATCATTCAAGTTTTCAATAATCAGACATGCCTAGTGTACGCGGAAGTATAGGGCTTCTCACTTTGGTTAGTTTAAAATTTTAGAAAAAAATGTTTCTCTTCCATTTACAAACCCATTTGTGAACTTTTAAATTCCTCATATTTCAAGACAACGACTTAATAACTGTTGTATTATTGCGTATCAGTCCTTCATGAAGCTTCAGGTGGCTTGTCCCGGATTCTGGACGTGATAACACTGGCTTGCGATATACCGCATTGGGTCCGTAAAAAAACTCCGCAGCAGATTTACTTATTTTTAGCCAAAAAAAGGATGATGACCCCTGTGTATAAGCCTGTAGAATCACACAACTCAAAAAAATTTCAAAATGTAGAGAAACGAAAGCGGGGGTGTTCATAGAAAAACATGTTGCATTCGATGAAAAAATCGATAACTGCGTATAGAATGCAACTTTTTTTAGTCCTAAAGAATCCCGCTTTCATTCCTCTGAATTTTGAAATTTGTTTCGGTTGAGACGGATTCTTCAGGTTTATACGTAGGAACTACCGTCCTATTTTTGGCTAAATAGTCAAAATCTGCAGAGATTTTTTACTCAATCGACGCTTTACATCACACGCTAGTTCAACCAAGCCAAAAACCCGGGACAAATAGACGGAGTTAAACAGAAAGGAACCAAGCCACATCGGGATCGAACCGAGAAAAAGAGGTTTAAAGTTTGGCTCCTGCATTAGACCAGAGACTCAATGTAAAAGATAACCTACAAGTTTTTTTTTTTTTTTTTATTGCTGGTTTATTGGCTTATATTCCGTTGGAACCTACAGCCATCGATAGACAGTATTTATTGTCCTTAGACATCATGGGATTTTAGGCACATCCATGCTCCAGGCTTTCAAATTTTCAGGAATTAAGGCCGAGTGGAATCTGTTTCTGCAGATCCACTCGTCAGTTCCGTGAAAATTAGACGCCACAACCGGGATTCGAACCCGGGACCTATTGACCTAGAGTCAGACGCGCTGACCACTAGGCCAACCTGGCCGGCAACCTTCAAGTTCACTTTCTGCAAAATTTGCTCCGACAAAAACTTAGAATTATTGGCGATAGAGAGTAGAGCAGTGGTTGAGTTCAAAACCGCTCAGGACTCAATTTTTTCCAAGATGTGGGTTGGTTCCTTTCTGCTTAACTCAGTCCAAATCATCTTAACAAGAATCACCAAAAATATTTTCAAATTATTGGAAACTATGCATGCCTGAACTGAGTTTTTTTTCAGGTTTTTTAAATTTTTCTCCTAAAAATTAGGTCGTATTGGACTAATCAAACGAACGATTCGATATTCACAATGTAGCGTAGCCTGAAATCAAGATTGTTTTTCCTTCTTATTCGACAGGACGTGATAATATGCAGCGGATGTTCTGGAGCTCTAGATCTTTGTATCACCGCTCTGGCGAATCCAGGAGACACCATCCTCGTCCCCAGACCAGGGTTTTCCATCTACCGGACCCAAGCAGAAGGACTTGGCATCAAAATTAGATCCTACAATTTACTGGTTAGTGGAATCTATTGAGGTTATACCCCATCCAATAAAATATAATCTGATTCGACTTCCAAATTGATGCATTCTTAAAATTAATTATACTCTTTCAACTAAACGCGACGTGAGTCCTTCGCTTCCAAACTTTAATCCTAAAACCCAGAGGCACAAAAGTTACGTGACTTATACGCAGTCTCGAGCACAAGCAGGAATTCAGCCGACGTTTTATTACATTGCGCGATTGAAGTATAATTTTCAGCAAAAATAGGGCATTCGCATTAATTTTCTAAAAATTTAACGCGGGTCGCATTGATTCTCTAAGAGGCCAATGTCCACGCCGTCAATTCCCCGCAAATTTGACCCTTTCGTAGAAATTTTTCAAAAATTCAAACCTTCGGCTGTAATTTTTTAAAAAATTCAACACTTATGCTGTAATTTTTCAAAAATGCAGCGCTTCCCACTAATTTTTACCGAATATCAACATCCCTGCCATAGTTTTTCGTAAAAATCAGTGCGTTGAGCATTCACTCTATAGAATAAAAACGGATTTTTCTATTCATGCAACCGAACTTCTATCATTACTTATTTCAACCTCATTATACGGTTATAAGAACCGAACATTCGGTAATACGAACTGAAAGTTGGGGTTGACGAACCGAATCGTTGCGATGATATAGAAAATGACGTTTTCCTTCATTTTGTAGATATACAATTTTAACTTCTTGGAAGTAAAAGTAGTTATGCCACGCGTTTCGCCCCATCCAACTTTTCTACTCTGCGTTGAAGTCTCTGGGTCAGCCGAAAAGAGACCATGCTCTTTTTCATTGTTGTGGATATACAAGAAAGATATGTTGCTTCATAATTGTGACCCTATCCGTGAAAAAGGGCCAAATCCTCCGGAGGGAAATTTCTAAAACTTGGAACTTCCCGCGAGAAACGATCGCGGGAAGCGCCTGCAATACTGTTGGAATACTTCAAGCATTACGTCGTTTCCTAGAAAAGCCTCGCTCTCGGCTCTTGAGGAAAGGAGCTGTCTGAGAAACAACTATGAATACGACCCTAGCTCCATAGAGACAGGTCGATGTAAGTGCCAGTTTCTCTGGTAAAATGAGATATAAACGATCAGTATCCATCCATAAAACCGTAGGAGGAGCGTACTTTGGTTTAGTTTATTCGACTTCCTTAAGATTGGACGAAATATTAAAAGTTCTTCCCCACTCAGTCTGATTTTTCCTCATTCCTTTGGTATCTGCGTGTACCACCCAATTAAACACAACCCAATTCGACAAGAATAAATACCGTTTGGGGCTGTACACCCAAGTGACAGTTCCACTGATAAACCAGGAGACAAATGACTGGGAGCTCGACAGAATCAAGAGGAGCGATTGCTCAATGGACGGAAACGGTCTCTCTCGTTCTTCTTGTCCCCAAACTGGACTCTCTTCTTCACTCTTGGCCGTGGCGTTTAATATCTGTGCTGCCGTACTACGGAAAGACACCGTGTGAACCTTCAAGCTTTGCCAAATTTCCTCTGATAAAACACGAATTTCCTGATAAACTTATAAATATTTTTATTCCAATTTTTTAGATAATTTTGTTTGCAGTTTCACCAAAAACTCTTGGAAAAATTCAAGGAAAAATATTCATAACTTTCCTCCGAAATAAATAGTTTATCGAAGGAAATAATGCAACTCTTGAATGTTCATGCGGTGTTCTTCCCTAGCACGGCAGTGTGAACCATTATTCAAATTTGACCACGTGCTCGCTCCTCGGTACCATGCACCCACCGCGTGATCACGTGGTTCTGGTCTTGTTAACATGAAAGTGTCTCGATTCCTTGCTCAAGTGATCAAATTCCGACCGAATAAAATCTTTAAAAAAAAAGAAAGAAAAAAAAAAAAAAAGAAAGAAAAAAAGGTGCCTCGCGGAGACATCACCTAGCCAACTAGGCTGCAGCTTAGTAAGCAGATTCTTGAAGATGGTGAATTCCGGTGATGGAATCAAAATCCTCTTTTAAAGTCGAGAACTTACTTGTATAGAATACGGACGAGTCGATAATTTTAGAGGCTAGGTCATGGAGCTCTTAGGGCCCAAAAGGGCAGCCAACCCATGGACTCAAATTATCCAGAGTGCTTTATTATTACAGTTTTTACGACCCTAGAGTCCCTTTATACTGAGAGTAGAGACAACGCGAATCCATTTCTGATTGGTTCTCGTACTTTAGGCCTTCATCTGTCACAAACAGGTATAAAGATTACATTTTCACCAATTTCAAAAATTATGAACTGGAATGGACTGGGGAATTGGGGGTTCGGCAAGGAACAAATGGAATGAGAGAGGGAACGAAGACAGGAATTTGGGAAAAGGTTGATCAAAGATCACAAAAAACGTTCGATTTGTGTATTCTTCATTCCCGTTTGTGACATCCACGCCGCGTTGTCTGAACTCTCTCTATTAAGGGACTCTATACGACCCTTCGTTCGTTAAGCACGTCGATTCACGGGTTTGTCGATGGATTCACGAGTTTTTCAATCGAATCACGTCGACTGGCGCACGCTTTTATTTTTTGATCGATTCATGCCGATCGACTTCACACCAATTTTTTAATAATTTGTCGAAGGAATCCGTACCTTAGCTTGACCCTAGTAGCAGAGTTATATAAAAAATTTGTTTTTAAAAGTATAAACCGTAAATAACCACAAGCTAAAGAATATTCATTGTTTATGTAATGGATGTAAAGTTTTTTAGTTAAAAGTTTACTAAAAAACTTATCATTAATATAAACTTCGAAGGATTCTGCCTTTTTCTATTTCACTCGAGGGGAAGTGTCCCCTCCCGGACTCTCTTCCCCACCCGGTGACTGACGCTGCGCTGTGCTGAACGGTTCAGCCTGAACCTTTCCCCTACGTCTGACCGTTCCCCACTCCTCTGTCAATCGAACCATATGCCACCGCTTACGTATTGTCGCTCGCCCACCCAGGTACCTAGCGGCCAGCGGTCAGTTGATGATAAATCTCGCTCATGCTCCTGCAGCTACGCATTGATTACGCCAGCTAATTACTTTCTAATAATTAGAATTTCTTCGATAATAGTTTTCTTTATTTATTCGACTGTATTTTTTTCTCTGTTCTACTGTGATTTCCTTGGTTCTCTACTGTGTTTTTCCTAAATCTCTGAGTCAGAAATCTGAAGCACTTCGGTATGCACCGAGTACTTCAGATGTGTGACCTGAAATCTTTGGTATATACCGAACTACTTCAATTGTCTGACCCGAACTTCGGCAGATGGACCTTAACTTTTCGGATGCGTGATCCGAAAACTTCAGAGATCCATATGATCTCAGCTTCGGGTTCCATGCACAAATTTTTTTCTCCGTGTTTCCTTTTAGGGGACGCAACTAAAATTTCAGTAAATTTTTTTCAGAAAAGTAAAGAAAAAAAAAAAGTGGCTAACGATGGTTCCTCACCTTCACGTGGTGTTGGCTGCTTTTACTAAGTGAGAACCGTCCATTTTAAGATATAGTCTATTTCTTGCCCTGCCATTATTATTCTACAAGTTAATTGTGGAGTGAGAATTTCATAATGTTTTCTATGAAGTCTTCAAAATATAGTGATAAAAAATTTGCAACTACTACAAAAT